GCGTGTCCAAACGCAGGGACGAAAGGAGGTCCAGGAATTCCGAACTATCTAACTATTCTCACTCCCGCTTCCTCCAACCCTAGGTGAACAGCTTTGTCTTTTTGCCTAAAATAAAGTAAACACTTGCCCTTGAGTTCTGCGCGAAAATGGCCCGCTATAGCGAACAAGCGAAAATAGCGCCCAAAGGGAAAGTTTCAACCCTGGATCCCAACGCGCAATACTTGGAGATAACACCTAGGGCAACTAGGAGATAACAAATCGTTCTACTTGACTTCTAAGGATTCCTAGAGATCCAGTTTGAGAAAATTCTTTTCCAGGATAGGAAAACGAATTTTTCTGCGCAGTTCGGCTACGGCGGAAGGGGACATTCTGCACTTTCGCTGCTTCACTAGTTCCGGTTTACAGTCTCGCTCTTACGAAACCTGTGAACACTTGTGAAGCTGGAGCAAGCTCGTCGTGCCACCATGGTAAAACCTGTCAACCCTTGCAAGCCTATGAAACAGCTCTCTGGATTGCTTGACGCGTCTTTGGGAGGCATCAGGCGGCGTTCAGACTTCCCGACGGAAGCGCGCGAATCGACGATCAATGAGCATGCTTTTCACTGCATCGATCGCGTCAAAGGCGTCGCTAAAGCGCTGCCGTCGCGAAGTCTGAACGCTGCCTCAGAAGTGCAAAATCCACCCCCCCCCCTCTCGCCACGTCGCCGAACTGCGTCTGTAGTTCTTATTTCTTACCGTTATTAATTATAACTATTCCTGAGTAGTTAAAACTAAAGAAGATGGAGTGGTGAGGAGATAAATGTACAACGGCAGTACCTAATGGATAAAGTACATCAGAGGAAGCTGGCAAAGATGAAAGGTTCACTAACAGAGCAAGCTACGCTGCGGCGGGAAAATTCTGCAGTATACGCTCCCCCCTCCCCTTTCCTGGGGATTCCCAACGTACGACATTCCTGCCCACTATACATTGAAGAGAGAACCCCCCCCCCTCCAAAAAGACATTACTTCATTCGGAAGAGCTGGAAACTGATGGGTGTAACCATTCAACAAACATACCTAGTCCATTCAACCTTCAGGACCATATGATGTTTTCGTATGCCATTTAATTTCGCTATAGCTCGTTCGGCATCCTTGAAAACGAAATTAATTGAAAGCTCGCAAATCGCACAAATACAAAGAATTATTCAATTGAGTGAGTCTGAAGAATACCTCTCGCATTTCGTACGTAACAAAAGCGAATCCTTTGGGTTGATTAGTAATCTTATCTCTGGCGATAAACACACGCTAAACGAATCGTGATTAATAAAATCGAGTGTTTAGAAAATGAAATAGATTAGGATGACATGTTCAGAAAAACCATACCACCACTCTTCCAATGGCAGCGAACAGTTCTCGAAGTTCAGCTTCTTCCATTTCTTGAGGAAGGTTCGTCACTCTACAGGTATTCTCATCGGACCTTAAATAGCCGTAAAATAACCAGTGTATCAAAAACCATCGATTTACCCTAATTTTAGTAATTAAGCAACAGGAAATCAATGGAACGAAGGCGATGAAACTGCACCATGTCAAGCGGAAATTCACACCATCAAATCTCATTGGTCTGAACCACGTGAAAGATAAAAGAAGGAGAAGGCTGTTGAAAAATTTCCAGTCAGAGTACAGCGAGGTGGAGCATTTTGTACTTTCGCTACTTCACTAGCTCCGGTTTACAAGTATCGCTCTGGTGAAACCTGAACTCCCGTGGAACCCTCATAGTAATTGGTATTGTATGGCATTTCGCTGGTCAGAGTCGACAGGTACTTTTTATAAAAACTGACACGTGGTCTCTACAGGCTGGTGTCATTTAGCGGCCTCACAAGGTTCCACAAGTCTCCACTTGATGGCTCGACACGTCGATTTAAAGTAGAAAAAGAACAAAATGCTCCTCTCCTACTTCCATCACTGAAATGCGCCGTTTTCCAACATGAAACCCAACATTTCACGGTAGCACGCTGCAAAGGGGAGGGGTGAGGGGGGGGGGGGGTGAAAGAAGTAGTAGTAACAAATGGATGATCAGGCGATGAAACTTGTCCAAACCTATCTCCGCATCTCTCTAAATTGATTACTGACCAAACCGAACCCGACCCTTCACACCCACAGGTACCCGCAGTTCCTCGTACAGGTATGCGTTCAAATAACTTTCCGACTCCCAATAAAAGTGAAACGCATGGCGTATCCCAAATTGAATGGCTGTGAGCGACAATGCGTTATTTAGAAAGAACACATAATAAAACTCACCGTCTATCTACTTGTCGGGCATCTCCACGCATTCCCGGAGCGATATACCGACCGCCAGCAGCAGCTGCTGCGCGCTCCTTCTCGGCAGTTTCGGCGGCATCAATCTCTTCATCGACTTGGTACATCTCCTGATAAAGAGCTTCATCAATAAAAAAAATTATGAATACAGTCAAACCGCAGCAATGCCACTTTGAAGCTAAAATGAATCCACTAAAATCCCAGAACCAGAAAAAGCAAACCTTATATGGACAGTTTGTACTCCAGTGATCATTTCCTTTGCAATGACGACAGTGTTCTCTGCTCGTGACTTTAGCCTAAGAAAATATTGGTAAGAATTACTTCATCTGCCACCAAATCCTCCAAGGAAAGGAAAAAAGAACCAAGGAGAAGTAAAATTCAGAAAGAACTCACCGCTTGCTTATCTTCCTGGACGTCCAGAATCTGTTCGCCAGCGCGGTTTCTAGTGAACTGCATCTCCACCTCTTCCGCAACGTATGTTGTGGAAACCTAAAAAAACGATTATGTCTGACAAAAGCGGCCTTTTGAAAGTCTTGCCTAAACAGGTGTTATGACAACTCCTATCTCACTGTATCCATCCATTAAGATTGAGCGTGTTACAAAATTTGTATTGAAAAAGGTTCAGAGCTACAGATCTGGTGGAAATCAACTCTAACCTGTGGGCCAGGAGGTTCGTCGCGGCAAAGTCCGAATTTCGCCATTTTCTTACGTTCAGCTACAACTTTTGGCACATTCTTGGTGATGACTTTGAATTGAGTGACAACCTAGAACATGCAGTTTAACCATAACACAAGATGAATGAGATACAGCTACAAACAAAGAACTCGGCCTAAAAACATACCTTATACCGCGATCCATCCTCCTCAATGTAGGCGACGACCGTTTTCACGCCATCCTCGTTCACATCATTGCTCGGCAGATCTAAAAAGCATTACAGGTAGAGTTAATGGCGCGGAGATACAAGGCCTTTTCATAGCACCTTCTCTCTAAGTAAACTGTTATCACAACCACAGATCTTGGCCTAATAGTGACAAGGGAGACATTCTTTGTACAAGACTAAAAATCTTGCAACGAAGATGAATTTCTCCCTCAGCCTAAGGGGAGGCTCCCGAGAAAGCACGGTGTTTCCATCTGGATGACGTTATTCCCTTTCCTGTACAAGGATTCCTTTGAACTACCCCTATCAACGACACCATCCCCAGGTTTCTGAACGACTTCACGATGCAAAGAATAAGAAAGAGCGAAAATTGCAAAGGAACATCTCTACCAAAACGAACATTGCTCAATGTGAACTTAACGATTTACTGGCTACAACTACCTATACCTAGTAACCACGCAGGTCAAAGCTCGCACAGGCTGAAAAAAAGTGCCAGCCCGCGAACCATGGTCATAGACTCCTCTTTCTGTCCATTGGAGACTCTTTATCAATGATTCAAAGGCCTCTAATGTCTTGCGCACCTCGGTCTTGGTCTTCTGCGCTAGCGCTAAGGTGATCGCCAACGTCCCCAGTATCCAAGCAACCGAAGTTGATGGCTTCGGTAGCAATTCCATTCCCGCAGTTCAGATAACTACGCCTTACTTCAGGGAAAGTACCTCATTCAAACCAATCAGCCCAGTAGATGACCTAAGATCACAACGAAACACAATTGAGAAATGAAACATACTGTCTTGTTCCACTGCCTCCGCCCAGCTACCAACTTCTGGAGCAGAACTCAGTCTAAAAAACATGAAAACTTTCAATAGAAGGAACCCTCTGGAAGCATTACTGAAAAAAATTATGATCTCAATACCACACCAGTTTGGATACAAAAAAACATGTTGAAAAAATATTTCCAGAATTGTGATGTTCTTTCGTAAGCTCTTTCCAAAAATTGACGGTATGGACTTTCTAAGAAAAAATTGTGGAAAGCTTTAAAGGTGGTTGCAAGAAGAAAGGAGTATAATGAGCTTACATATTAGTACTGCTTGCAGCCATGACCGTCATGCGAGTCGTCTGAAAGCTTCAAGATTACCAACAAAAAAAACTCGAGATAACTCGACGCGCGCAACAAAATCTAATAATAACTCAGAGCCAACTTCTTAGAATTAGCAGCACTTCCTAGAAGTTTCAGAACATAAAAATATCTTAGAAAAGACAGCCTCTCGATGGTAGAAATTTCATTGTAACTCAGTGAAAGATTTTGAGAGAGCTGAAAACTCCAACTCCTCCAACACGGCCGTTATGACGCGTCGCGGCATCGCGCCAGCGTGAAAATACTGGTCGCCACGTCGCGTGCGATCAAAGCAGCGCGGTTGTAACAGTTTTCGATATTTTCAGTTGTAGGAATCGAGCTCACTCAATAGCGCGCGTCCTTTAATTTTTTTGTTTCACAGCTGATACCTGTTTTTGTTGCGGAGGAATCCTCCAGTCGCTGGTCGAACTTGCGAACTATTGGTGACCTCACTGCAATTTCGCGCTTAACTTTCCGCCGCCGATACAGCTCTAATTCTCTTAGAGCGCCTCCTTCCTGGTGGAGGGAACGTTTAATTTGGGTTATGTATGGCACTCATTAGGCGAACATTTCGGGTTTCATTGACATGGCGATATACACCGTGTTACGTAAAAGAAACTAGCGAAAGTGCAAAATGCTCTGCTAAGCCAAACGGCGCCCATCTACCTGATAATATGGACCTCATGTGATTACTCTTTTCATATCGAAAGCCCTCTCCAAAGACTGTAAGCTGATTGAAGTTTGCCGTAACTCACGTATAATTGATTTAAGGAAAAAGGAAGGCACAGATTTTGAACCAAGGTGCAGAAAAAATTAGCGCAATGGTCTAGAGCAGTGGATGAGTAAGGCATGATACGGTAGTTCCCTGTTCTACGTAATTGCACTCGGCGAGCACGGGTGTTTCTACGTCGCATCGATAAAAGGGGAGAAAGTGCATTTCTTGTGTTCTGCGGTTCCTTTTGATCGTTTCGCCTCTGAAAACATCATCCTCTGAAACCTTCGAAAGAAAATAGATGAATAGTCTAAAGGTAGCTGCATGACTACAGAACCGGTCTTTTTGAACTGGTACAGTCATAGTTTCCTCAAGTCTCCAGTAAGATCTTCAGCTATTTCAAAGCGTCGCTCCGGTCTGTCCTCCTTGTGGGTCGAACGTAAGACAAAGAAATCAAAGATCTTGGGAATGGTGGAAACGGAGCTTTGGCTGTTCCCGTTGTCTTAGCGGCTCAGGATACGTGTCAACCGCGAAGCCTCCCTCCTCATTCCTTTCTTCTCCCTTCTTCCTTCTTTTCCTTCCTTTTTTCTCCCTTCTTCCTTCCTTATTATCCTCCCTTTTTACTCTCAGCCGGAAGATGCGGCGAAAAAAATATAATAACTGTGGACCCTTGCAGCGACTTGTTCGCTCTCACAAAAACATCCAGTTGATGGGAGCCCTGAGACGGTTGTTTTAGCGAGCCCAGCTTTGCACTGCTCCCTTTCGAAAACCTACCGTGAAATGTGTGAGTGTTCCAGGGCTGTGTCACAAAAACACTTTGCTGAGAGCGGTCGTGGTGGCGTAACGGATCGCGCACTAGCCTGGAAAGCGTGAGGTGCGGGTTCGAACCCCACCTGGGGTCAAGACTTGCCCTAGCTCAGCACTCTTGCGACAATTTTCGGAGGTGCTGAGGGTGTGAGCCCAATTTTCACAAGCTGTCGCTTGCTCCCTTCAACAATTGCTTGGTGACGCTACACCAAACCCAGCCTCCTGATAAGCTCCATAGCGGACAGGAATACAGCACGATTCGGCCTTTCATCCCCGCTCTCAGCAGGGGTCTCTCATTTCATGAAAAGCGCTCTTCAAATAGTTATTGGTGCATAAGATAGGGCTAGGCTCTAAAAAAAGAAAACGATACGAGTTTTCTTTTTTTCCTGGGTCAAAAATGAGAGAAGAGCTAGTTTTGACGAGTGTATTGAACGGACATTAAACATTTTTAGTTCCTCTCACACTGGTTCAAGATTAAGGGGGACACTCTTTATATCCCAGATCATCAAAGGTCAGCTCCAACAGAGTGGTCTAAGAGAATTCTAGAGCTGACATAAACCTTGCCATTGTATAGGTGTAGGTCGCAGTTCGCTCAAATTCCGAGTCAGCCATCCAACACCTCATAATTTGAGAAGAAGGCA